ATATGAGGTTCATATAGTTCATCAACGTACATATAATGATCATATATGTAATTCTTTTTAAATAATTGTATTGATTTGTACAATATATTATCATAGAAACAAAACGATATTCAATTTCTTTTCTAGAGCTATTTCATCCATCATCTCCATAACGTTAAAAGTTCAAATGCATATGGGACATTTAAAACAAAATGTCGAATTCTGAAATTGCAAAATTTAATAAAAGTTACACTCTTCATATACAAATCAAAACAAACAATACTTATGGAACATCATATAAAAAAGATGCCAATTTGATAATGTCATAAAAGAATATATTGAATCATTTGTTGATAGGTGGTGCAATATATTGTCTCTCCAATTACCATTTTCCATAGAAATTTTGGGCTATTTTCTAAAAGTTTCGATAAAATTTTAAGCGTGTTTTTCATGGGCAATAAGATGGTTTTCAAGAGTTCAAACAACTAAACATTTCATTATGTGTAAAATCCTATGTAATTATATACTTTTTAAAGACCTTTCAGTCAAATATTGTCTATCCTGTTACTGTAACTATAGCAACCATAGTAACAGGATAGACATATAGCAGTATAGACAAATGTCTTCATTTATAAGCGCTGTTGTGAAATAACTACTCCCTAAAATGCAGTGATAATGTTTTTTTTTCTGCTGTGATTTTAGTTTCCAACACGTAATTACACTTTTAACAAGTATAATATTGTTGTAAATAATGAATTTATTGGTAACAGAATAGACAGCATAAAAGAGTACCCACTATTTTTATCACTAAATATCTTGAACTTTCTTTTCCCTACACTGTTATGCAAGACACGTGATGTGTTAAAATTTCAGGATGCTTTGTGCTTTTGAAATCATCACTGAATAGTTCAATATTCATTGGGAGAAACACTTTAACGGTTGATCTAGTACCGGTAACAGAATATATATGCATTTCATGTACGCCGATTAAAGTCTGTTTGCAGAAAACATGTTACATAGAATAATAAAGAAGCTGTAATTTTTCGTTAGAGTTTTCATTAACATTCTAAAATAGTCCCTTTTGCCGATATCAAGGCAATCAGAAAATAGGAAAAAAATCATTTGAAATGTGTAACCCTGACACTATACGCACACAATTTACGCAAAAATCGGACTTAAATATATATTTTAATCTTATCAAAATGGATCTAAATCTTTATTATTGATGTTCCAAATCATAAATCCTACATACTTTCATTTAAACACTTAACTGCATTTTCGATTAATAATAAAAAAAATAATAGCATAGGTGTACTGAAAATTCGACATTTTTTTAAAAATAACCCATATAATAAATATTTGTTATACCAAAAATGCAGATAGCAAAAAACAAAATTATTCTGACTTAGTGACAACTTGGCAAAGAAAACAATATTTCATAAAGCCTGCATGTATAAAATATATTTAAATTTATTATACTTAATGTTAAAATACCAGATTTTAATTGGTTAATACGGAGACGCTTGCTCATTTGTGCGCATTATCAAATACGGATGTTTGCTATGCAGATGACGTCATAGTTTAGTTCTTTCGTTTTCAAAATAACAAAATATTCAGTATAATACATTATATAACACATAGCTGAGAGGATGATAGAGAAGATTGTCACCCCTTAAAAAAACATTGTCAACCTTGACTTTTCTTCTGTAATCCCCTCACTTATGTTTTATTTATATATTATCCCATAAGCTAATATCAAGTAACACAACTGTACGTGGTAAAATGTGTCATCCTCAATATGTAATAGCGACAATGTTTTGTTATGGTTGGTGTCATCCAGCATATTGTAAGTTTCATAAGAATGTAGGCGGAGTTTCTTCGAGAAGGTTTTACTTGGAAACAATTAAGTTTATTATTTTACTGTTGTGAAGTTGACCTTTGACTCAATGACCTAAAACAACAGTGCTCCTTTTCCTTGTGATTTGAGGTAAAAAGACGCTTTCATAAGATAGGATTAGGAAAAAAATAAAAGCTATGAATTATCCTACAAATTATTCATGAAACCTAAATTTAAAAGGCAATGACGTGAATGAAACAAAACAAACGAAAAAGAGAAGTTTATTTGCCCACACACACAAACTGTCTAGAATACAGATCTGTGTCCACGTTTCGCTGAAAGAACTTCTGATAAAACTTCATTCACATTAGCATTCGGTTAATAAGTACGTCAACCGATGAAATTTCCGCCTCCAAGGTATGCATCACTATGAAATAACCCGAGAATTTCGAAAATTCTTCATATAAGAAAATGACAAAGAAATGTCAGACTTTTGTAAGTGAAGTGTTAACCAAGGATCTGCATTATCATCAGATTATATCAAAACAGACGTATAAATGCAGACAGAAAACAACCCTATTTTTAAACAATTCAAACCCACATTCACATTAATATTTAAAGCAATATCGAATGTTCTAAGAGAATAAGAATGTTGAACTCTGCATATGACAGCAGATGTTTTAGATAAGTGGTTAAAGCCGGTATTAATAAGACAAATTCAACAAGTCGCAGTCGTTAAGAGACCTATAGGACAGGGGAATTATATATGCGACCAACTGTGACAATGTTTTATGATAACGATCTGTAAAATGCTTTTAGTGCTAATATTAGTTTTGGCTGGGTAGTTTTTTAAAGTGATTAATCTCTTTCAAAATATTATAGAGAACAATGACATTTATCTTACCTCCTATACATTTCTAGGAATATGATTGGTTAAAAGCGTCCGCGTGGAGACCGTGTATATTCCATATTAGGCTAGTAGGGAGGCGGGGCTTATTTCATACACGGTTAGTAGTGGTGTTACGTCACTTTATAAAAACAAAACGGTACTGAGAAAAAATCTTAAAGGTTTCAACAGACGAAGAAATTGATGATGAAGATTGAAATAAATTCATAAAACACATTTAAACCTAACAAGTTGTTATTGTTGGCATCTGTTTTTGTAGGATCAATGGAAGTAGTTTCTTAATGCTATAACGGTATTGAAGACTTGCTCATTTTGATAGGTCACTAGACTAAATTTCACATGTTAAGATAGTCGGAAAGATAAATTCGTTACATAGTCTGCTAGTGACGTAATACGGTATATATGGGGTCAGTAAATTCCATATGGGGATTCGAGCTTCGCTCTCACCCCATATGGAATTTACTGACCCCATATATACCGTATTAGGTCACTAGCACACTATGTAACTAATAATACCAAGTTATAAAAACTCAGATACACTGAATGTATAATCACAGGGGATCAATTAGGGTTTATTAATAAAATAAATAAGAAATACTGAAGAGACGAATTTACATGATAGGTCGGTACATTGAGGTATTTGAATATAAAAGATGTTGTGAAATGATTTATAACAAAACATTTCTACTAAGACAATAAAATAAAAACTCAAGATTGCTTTTAATGTTGTTCTAACTTACATCACAAATTAACATCGAGGCCTACATGATGGAGAAAAGTGCAAACTTCACTACAGGATCAAGACGACCAAATGCAACGGATTGAGCGTTACTCTTTGTAAGATATCGATCAAAAGTCACCTGTGCATTAAATAAAAGAACATTGTAACCATGTATATTACTAAGGTTAAATTATATACAAATAGATATAAACGGTCCCCTTAGCAAATGTGATTTAAATCAAACGATGTCAAGAGTAAAAACTTAAAAAGTTTTGGTAGGCTGATATTTTGACTTAAGGATGTTCGCTCCTTTGTGGTTTCAAAATAACAAGCTTTTCATACGACTGCTATAAATTGATAGTATATAAATAAAGGAACTAAAATAGCAGAAAAAATGAAGGGTCCGTGCGCTTGTTTTCGAGATATAAGCAATTGAAAATTTGGTGGGAAATGATTCTCTCTAGACTTTTCATTAATTTTACATTGGCACCTTTTTTCTTTCAAAACCTATGAAAAAATAACAAAGATTTTATAGGATTTTCAAATATGGCTTTTAAAAATATATGTTATAAAATTATGAAAAGAAAAGTAGGGGTTAGCAGGCAACATTTTCAAATGGCACTACATGGATAAAATCAGAGGATTCCATATATCTTGCAAAAATTCAAAAACAAGATGAGCGAACATCCTTAAAAATAATGATTGTAACAGGATGCTATTACGAAATCTCCTTATAGCACAAACTCTATTTATTGATTTAGCAAACATGTATCCTAGTTAATTTCACCCACGTCATTTTAATGCTAGGGGTCAATTCTCTCAATAACAATCATGCAACATCTCCTATTTTCATATACATGATTTGGGTACAGCGTTACCTAAAACGTCACGGGGAATATGTCCAATTATATTGTTGAAAATCAAAAATAACAAGTGTTGTATAGATATTTTAATACGTTATACACTTTACCGTTTTTTGACCTCGCATCAAAAAAAATTTAATTATAAAGTCACGGAAATCACTGAACAAATCGTTTTATGTTACAAAGATGAATCAGAAAATATAGAAATGACCATTGGAAATTCGGCTGGATATCATTTATTGTGTTTATTTCATAAAGTCTTAATGTTTCCTAAAAAACATAGCTACTAGGTGCTTTTCCCAATTATAATTGTTTTGAGAGACTTTCGGGAAATTTACCAAAATTGGAATATAATCATTTGTTACAAATAAAATGTGAGGTCAATATCTGTCCTAAAATATGTGGTTGTTACGTGCCTGTCTTAAATAACCATGAGTCTGAGAGTCTTTCGGGAAACATTTTTTTCGGACACCCAATAAAAAACAAAGCAATTGAAGGAGTTGAGGATTGCAGATTTAAAGAGGAAGTTTAAATTTCATAAGTTATACCGAGTAAGATATTTAGTGACTGCAAAAGACTATATATCAATTTGACGATGAAAGTCGTTTTGGAGTTTAGAAATGCTGTATTTAAAAAGAAAACATATCGCATTATAGGTCTTCATTAATGATCTGATGCATTTTGTTTTTTCAGATTCAAATTTTACTGACAAGTAACCATGAATAAAAACGTCACCATGGAAAACCAAAGCAATTGTACAGCTGAAATCATACCACAAACGGGTTCTGATTTTGAAAACATTGGCGTGATGTGTATGCTGTCAGTATTCAGTGTCATGGGAACGTTTGGAAATGGATTAGTAATTTATGTGTACTCGAAAAAACGTGATAAATTGACATCTAACGTGTTTATAATGGGTTTAGCTTTAACTGATTTTATTACGTCATTGTTGATAATGCCATATACTGTGGTGTTTACCTTTTTGGAAGAAAAAGTGCTTTTTGACATACCATGTAAAATCTTTTATTTTCTCGTTACCTCGAATGTGCCCCTCTCGGCTTTTATCATGGTGGCTATAGCTGTTGATCGTTATCTTTGTATATGTCATCCATTCCTTCATCTATTGACAGTTCCAAGAGCTAAAATTGTATTGCTAATACAGTTAGTCTTTGCTGGAATACTTGGTTTGATAACAGCACTGATGCATTCTGTGTATGCCCTACCAGAAGAACTTTTAGATTTGGAACTCGAAATTCCATATCAGAAAAACATCAGCTTTGCTGGATGCGAAACCGTTTACACAGGAACTTGCAAACCTACAAGTAGATTATTTAGTGTAGAATTTACTTTATATTATCAAAAAGTATATTCTTCCTTCTTTTTGATATCTTTACTTTTAGTGTTTACACTTTATATAATGATTTATAAATATGTCACATCCAGACGGGCAAAACGCCAAAAACAGAAGAATGCCAAACAGTTTTCAACCACAATGGTTCAGACAGAAGCGTCACAAATTGATAACACCAAGGACAGTCATGATCACCTGCATCCTACAAAAGTTGAAGTGAACGAGAATGGAGTCAGTACGACCTTACTACCTCCGGACCACCAGGATGAACAGATGAGACAACAGCGGAAGTCAGTGCGAGAGAAAAGGGACCATAATGCATTAGCAAATATAAAAACGGCTGTGATGCTATTCGTAGTGGCTGTTGTGTTTGTCATAGCTTATCTTCCTCCCTGGCTAATGGCTCTTATGGTTGTTCAGTATATCAAATTTGTCTTTTATTCGTATTTCGTATACAACGTTGTCAATCCATTTATTTACGCTTTCATGAATCCAACATTTCGAACAGACCTAAAAAAGGTGTTTGGAAAATGTTTAACTAAGAAGTGAAACACCAAAGCCAAATATTAATTATTGTATACGTAGTGTTGTTTACAACAGATTCATGAATCCAACGTTTAGAACAAACTTGAAAAAGGTGTTTGGAAAATGTTTAACTAAGAAGGGAAACACTAAAGCCAAATATTATTATTGTAGTTTTGTTTACAACAGATTCATGAATCCAATGTTACGAACAGACTTGAAAAAGGTGTTTGGAAAATGTTTAACTAAGAAGTGAAACGCCAAAGTCAAATATTAATTATTGTTGTGTTGTTCACAACAGATTAATGAATCCAACGTTTCGAACAGACTAGAAAAGGGTGTTTGGAAAATGTTTAACTAAGAAGTGAAACACCAAAGTCAAATATTAATTATTGTAGTGTTGTTCACAATAGATAAACAGTATTTAATACTCCAATGACAATAAATATATACATTTCATTGATGTGGAGATAAATAATTTGAAAACAATTCACTGTTTCAGAATCTTAAGGACTATGGATAATTGCATTGTTCGTACACCAACATGAAAATAACATTGGTCGCATTTTCATTGTTTATGACGTTGTTAGGTACAACGTTTTGGTGTATGCCTGTGAAAATATTACCCAGAATGCTTTAGATTCTGAAACGGCAATAAGAGGTTTCAATTTTAAAATAATATATAATGGTATGTATTTTAAAGAGCGTTTATTCGTACCATATATATTCCGTTTATGTGAGGTGATAAGCGATACCTTTTCTTCGATCTTGTAGTCTATATTGTATTTCATTTGTTTGACCACTCTATTTACACTTCTAGTAAACCAAGGTTGACCTGAAACGGTCAATTTGATAAAAAAAAAGCTCTAAAAAGTCTGAACAATAAATCGTTAAGTCATTTTCAGTCTTTCAGTCAATTTAAAGACTTAGCTGCTGCAATTAATTCACTACTGGACAATGCACTTGCAGTCAATTAAGAGTCTATGTGCAGACTTTTCAAATGATGTTAAGATCAAAATGACCGTTTAAGACTAAAATTCATTTGCTAGTGTTTTTGCCATCACTTCCAGTCTGTCGATTTCGTCCGATAACTTTTACACAAATCTTCTCCTGTCAAACTACCGAGCAAAATTTAACCAACTAGATCGCAATATCATTGGGGTAAAATAAAGTGTCCGATAACCCCTCCTGCCAACAAACATGGCTAAACATAGAACATAGGGATAAAACTCAGGTTTTGTCTATTCACTTAAAAATTACCCCAAAAAGAGAAAATCTGACAGTGCCAATAATGTTCAAAATAATGATATCTACCTATTGTTCATTTACAACAAAACTGTTAGACGACTTTATATAGGAGTTATTGTCGTTATTTGACGAATTTTGCCTATTATTTTGAAAATTATAATAGAGAGACAGATACTTTAAATAGATAACATTATCAGCATGACAAGATCTATAAAAAAAGTCAACTGGCCGAAATCGTCAGGCGACCTGTCGAAGTTATTGCACATTAATAATGACGATTTTTACGAATGTTTTGCATGCTTGCCTATAATCTTGAAAACTATACTATTAGATATATATGTATTTTAATTAGCACACATAAGCAGCAAGACAAGATTTATTAATACGTCAACATTGCCAAAATTGTCCGTCCACTCTTTACTGGAGTTATTGCCTTTTAATGACGATTTTTTTACTGATTTTGCCTTTTTACCTTTTTGCCTTTTATCTTGAAAACTAATAAATAGATAGAAACTTTAAAAGTCAAAATATGTTAACATAGATAAAATTCGCAATTGTCTTCTCATAGGAGTTATAACCCTTAAATAATGATTTTTAGCCTTTTTTGTGTTTTTTGAAGGAAAAAAACTACAGAATAAAAATCGAAACCGTACACGGAGAAAATGATCAGCAACACGAGTTCAACATAAAAAAAAAAGAGATTTTAGTCATGAAATAAATTCTATTATTCGATATTTGAGAGTGGTCATTGTTGAAGATGATCGTAGACTAAGGCGTGCGACACAGGCTCTTTAGAGCCTCTAGCTTTTTTAGGGGTACATGTATCACTCTCAAATGCATGGACTGTTTTCGTTGACCACTTGATTGTTTATTGCTTACCTTGCAGCAATTAATAATGCATGCATACTCAGAACGAGATAAAATTAAACAATACACATAAATCGGGTTTGTAAGTTGAATGCGAATATGCCAAACACAATAAGAATTTTAGGATTGGGTGCGCTAGCTACTTTTGCCTTGTATTATGCCTTTAGGGTTTGTCGATCGAAGAAGTACTATCATTTTTCTTTTCTGTCAGCTAGTAAAATATGCTAGTTTGTAGCCAAATGTACAATTCACAAGAGGACAGATATAGTTGCTTACAGCCATAACTTCGTTCTTTATCTTTATTCCCACGAGGAAAACCGATCTGTGTTGATTGCATCAATGTTGAATTTGTCAAATTTAATACTTTAACATGACATCGTTTTGAAAAAAGAAAAAAAAATGTGAAAACACATTAAATAATAAAAAAAAATTGAAAAGCTGAAAGAAGATGAGATTTTAAGGCAATAATTTTGAATGGATATACATCAAAAGCCACCTGGTTTTATACTGAAAAGTAAAACAACAAAAAACCGAACTCCAAGAAAAATTGAAAACGGAAAGTCCTTTCTCAAATGACTAAAATCAAAAGCCCAAACACATCAAACGAATTGAAAACAACTGTCGCATTCCTGACTTGGTACTGGTATTTCGTTATGTAAAAAATGGTGGATTAAACCTCGTTTTATAGCTAGCGTAACCTCTCACTTGCATGACAGTCGCACAGAATTCCATTAACAATGTGTGAGCAGAACAAACAGACATAATAGGTAACAATGTCAAAAATTGGGGTACAGCAGTAAAAAATTGTGTTTTAATCTTAATCATTATAAAAACAAACAACTATGTCATCAAAGAAAAACAAAATGGCATATAGATACTCTTTAGACAAAGCACATAAGCAAAAATGAAAGACAAGAATACAAAAAAATGACCATAGCACAATAACACAATAGCGGGATCTATAGATACTGAGTCACGACAAAAGGATACATGTATTACCAAAAACGGACTATACACTCAGTAAAGGTTAAAATATACAAAGACAAATAAAAAGAACACTATAACAAAGATGATAAACAATGTCGGCGTCAGTACCTAGAATCTATACTTGGATACGGAATATTTATCAAAAAGGTCTTGGTATCTTCCGATGTACTTTTTCAGAAAAAGGACGAGACGTTCTTTGACATACTAGTAACCCTGGTTCATCAACTTTCTGCTCAGATACTGGTGACGTTTTATAAAGTCTGAGTAGCTCTTGCAAGCTCTTGAATACCTAATGAGTTGGGAAATGTATATCCTATATGCAGGTGAAGTTGGTATATTGCTGCTGAGGTTGGGGAAATTTATAATTTCAAATATAAAGTTGTCTCGTTTGTCATAGATTCTGGTACTGAGATGACCGCATATGTCAAACTCGAGGTACAAGTCTAAAAATGAGGCAGATAAAGCCGTGTCTGTCGTTTCTTTAATTTCTAGCTCTGGGGGATATATTAATGGAACACAATCAGAAATGTTTGAATTGTTAATGGAAATAACATCATAAATATATCTGAATGTGAAATTAAATGATCTGAATTCTTTTACAAGTGTCTGAAGGAACTCCGACTCATATGGAAATAAGAAGAGGTAGGTAAAGAGAGGCGCACAGTTCGTTCCCATAGGAATTATCCTACTATGGAATCAAGTCTTTCTCTGGACACACTTTTGTCTTGGAAACTGCAAACTGTTCCGCTGTCAGCTATCCCAATGAATTCAAAATCTGGCGAGTCCGTCAAATACAAAGAACGGAAAGAGCGGTCCATTAAACTCATGAATAGGTAACCATCCTAAATATAAACGTGTAATATTACCGCTTGACGACGTTCCAAATTCATCAATCAATGAATCAAATTATGGGAAAAGAAGCATATATGAATTTTTAAGTGTTACATCCACATATATATATACATACATTGTTGGGCTGATATTTAGACGAGTTGTATATACAGAATGTAGACAGCCATGTATCACCACCACTGCTGGTGATCCGATGGATAAATCTGTTGTTGAGTTGTCACTGGTTCGGACGTACTTATAAATATAATTATTTCTGTGACTGTATCTTGCATTAATTTGTAGGATCCTTTACAATAGATATTTCAGCTGATCGGTAACAATTCCATCTTCATGCCTTATATATCATGCACTGTATTACGACGTTAGATTAAAACTGACGAGGAAAGGTAACACCCGGCCACCGAAAGCTTTATTATTGTGAAGCCTAGGTGGTCGTGAGGTCTAGCGCGTCAGATACAGTGCAGGCGATTTGGCGTCACGATATCTCAGTAGCATGAGTTCGAATCCCGGCGAGGGAAAAACAAAAATTTTGCGACAGCAAATTTATAGATCTAACATTGTTGGGCTGATGTTTAGACGAGTTGTATATACAGAATGTACACAGCCATGTATCACCATCACTGCTGGTGATCCGATAGATAAATCTGTTGTAGAGTTGTCACTGGTTCAGACGTACTTATAAATATAATTATTTCTGTGACTGTATCTTGCATTAATTTGTAGGATCCTTTACAATAGATATTTCAGCTGATCTGTAACAATTCCATCTTCATGCCTTATATATCATGTACTGTATTACGACGCTAGATTAAAACTGACGAGGAAAGGTAACACCCGGCCACCGAAAGCTTTATTTTTTGTGAAGCCTAGGTGGTCGTGAGGTCTAGCGCGTCGGATACAGTGCAGGCGATTAGGTGTCACGATATCTCAGTAGCATGAGTTCGAATCCCGGCGAGGGAAAAACAAAAAAATTGCGAAAGCAAATTTACAGATCTAACATTGTTGGGCTGATGTTTAGACGAGTTGTATATACAGAATGTAGACAGCCATGCATATCCATCACTGCTGGTGATCCGATAGATAAATCTGGTGTAGAGTTGTCACTGGTTCAGACGTACTTATAAATATAAATATTTCTATGATTGTATCTTGCATTAATTTGTAGGATCCTTTACAATATATATTTCAGCTGATCTGTAACAATTCCATCTTCATACCTTATATACCATGTACTGTATTACGACGCTAGATTAAAACTGACGAGGAAAGGTAACACCCGGCCACCGAAAGCTTTATCATTGTGAAGCCTAGGTGGTCGTGTGGTCTAGCGCATTTGGATAAAAATTTTCTAGCGCGTCGGGTACAGTGCAGGCGATTTGGTGTCACGATATCTCAGTAGCATGAGTTCGAATCCCGGCGAGGGAAGAACAAAAAGTTTGCGAAAGCAAATTTACAGATCTAACATTGTTGAGCTGATGTTTAGACGAGTTGTGTATATATACTTTGATGTAATAAAGTGAAAACAGCAGCAAACGTTTCAAAGCATCGTTTATATAAATATAAAATTCAGACATACATATTAAATAAGAAGATGTGGTATGGTTGCCAATGAGACAACTCTCTACCAG